ACACACACATATACACGTAATCACATTACTCCAGGCATTTCTTGATTAAATTGATCGTATGGTATTTCGGCATTAGATGCAAAAAATGCTAATGACGAACTCTGAAACATTTCTCGCCGCATAGATAAAAAATATAATTTTATTTGGCAACAATGGTGCTTAATTGTCAAAAAAAAATCCATTCCAATGCTGGAGTTGAATTAATAAGCCATTTTCAAATTGTTTGCAGCCGACGTACATACATAATTTTGGAAAACTTTCTTTCTGCCAGTATGCCTGTCTGTCTGTATCTGCTCACCCCATTTTCGTATGCAGTGTGAATTAAATGGAAATTTAACCTCTTTTTCTTGATGCCACCAGCCAGGCAGCCAGCCACCCAGACAAATTCATTGAATTATAATTAAAAGCGATACAACGTATACCGGAAAACTTTCGTCAAAAATTTCTCACCTTAGCATAGAAATAGACAGACATGCAATCGTCAAGAAATTATTCAATTATTTTATTAGTTTATTACGGCGAATATCAGTAGTGGCAGTGGGAATCGGTGGCACTTGGTTGGTGGCAGCAAATGCGTGCTTTCGAGTCTGTGTGTGTTTGCGGCACAGAAACGTTAGCAGCACCACCCGTTTGTTCCTCCCTGATATTCACACCTACAGCAGCATATCGATACTTATGGAAATCTAAAAGCGAAAAAAACTGAAAATTTACGCCACACCATCAGCTAACATCATTTCCTTTATTACCAATTGGCAGCCAGTGTGGCTGGCATTCGTGATACTTGATTTTCAAATGCATGGCATAGATCTGCTACACAAAATGGTGTTATCATCCTCATCAATCAATCACTGGGCCACAGAGGCCGGAAAATTAATTCGCTCAAATAGCAACTTGACTACAAGGTGGTATAAAAGTTACATTACGCCCAATATCGCCCAATAACTATCGAAGTGAGCTGGAAACCATTCCGATTGCTCATTTCACGGTGTCCTTCTTTTGAAACATTTTTGACCGGAAATGATCTGAAATGCTTCGCATTAATCCAAAACCTTTTTTTAAAATTTGTTTCAAAGCACTTCTACTTTAAAAGTAACTGACCCACGTAAATGACATACAAGTACAATGGCTATAACATGCAACTTAAAATAGTCCAGTAACTTTTGACCCACTCTTTGCAGGTTTTTATTCTTCAAATTGTTGTAGTTGTTTGGCTCGGTATTCATTGTCATAAATTTGGCTTTTATATGCTATTTTGTGAGAGAATACTTGTTTGACCGGCCTTCCAGTAGTTGTGGAGTAGCATCTCTGGCGGTACCATTACCCCTCTAAAACACCTAGCCATTAATTTATGATCTCATAAATCCCGACCCGGCCACAGAACTCTGCACCTTCGCCAGTAGAAAAATATTAAATGAACAAAGTAGGATTGAGTGTTTCGTTTTTTGCTGTTTTTATTGTTGTTGTTGTTGGCTTGCTACTCATGAGGAAATTATGGTAGGCAAAAAATTGCGTAGGTCGTTTGTGTTGAGGGGCTGTCATCGATTGCAACATGAAAATTACATTGAAAAAAATATGATGTTTTCTTGGATCAATGTTGCATGAATGACTGAATGATGTTGCCACTTGGTGCAGAGGCAGAGCATTTGTTTGCAATGTTGTTGCAAGTTTTTGTTGAATGGGTTTATTTTTTCTTTGGAAAGGAAATTCAGTTTCGTATTCACAAGTTTCGAAAATGATGAAGAAGATGCGAACAATTTGAAAATGTATGAATGTTGAGATTCCAATTGCATCGTGGAATAATGTTTTCGTTACTTCATCTAAAGTGACTGACTGACTGATTGATTGCTGATCTTTGATAGATATACTCCACGTCATAGGCATCAGCATCGCTGGCATCATAACGAACACAGATAAAAGGCGATGAAATCCAGAAATCAGAGAATAAATTAAACGAATTAATTCAATTTATTTATGTAGATTTGTAAGACATCGATGATCGAAGTGATGAAGACACAATCATTAAATTTCCATATTTTTGATTGATCGATAAAACGAGAATAATAAAAATTTCGATGGAACTGTTGTTAAAACAACAACAAAAATTGCACCACTTTTACTGGACACATGCTCATAAATGTTGTGTTAAAAAAATATTAATATTGGTTTTAATTTTCGATACTGAAGGGTAACACAACGTGTCATGGTAGAGTCTTTAAACCAGCTATTGCGATCCTTGGACATTATTTTTTTTTCTACAAAATATTATTAACCTTAGCATTTAAACTATATTTCACATTGAAATAAGTATTTGTTACAAAAATACTCTAACAGTCAAAGTCTTGGGGGGGCTAATTCCCGCCATTGTCGTTTAGTATTGACAACCTACAAAACACTTGAAACTCTGTGAACACATCATCTCTCCACATGATAAATGATTTATAAAACTCAAGACGGATACTCGTCGACTATCCACCATTACCATTCACTCCTCTTGCAATGCAAATACTAAATGTTGTGGCTGGCATTATTGATTTCATTCACAAAAACAGAACTGTGAAAAAAAAAATAAAAACAAATTTTTACCACTGACATTGACGTTGCAAATCTGACAAACGAAACAAAAAGTAATATTTATTTCAATTTATTCTCGCGTATCTCAAGAGATTTATGTCAAGGTGTGTACAGCACATTCGTTCACACTCATTCACATTAGTTGGATCGAAGCAACAGCAACAGCTCCAACTTCAAACAACTTTCAACGTCTTTAAAATGCAAATAATCTCTTCAAATAAAAAACTTGGTCGCACTATCGTAAATTAGTAAAACATTACTTGTTTTTTTTTTTCAAAGTTCAGCAGCTTTTTTTTTTGTTCAAGTTGCAAACAAAAAATATTGAAATATTATATATGAAATGACATGTGTCGCTGTAGATTTCATAAGTGGACTCGTAAATATACAGAAACATATTTATTTGTCGGTACTCAGATCGGTATTTTGTAGGTGAATGTGCTATTCGTTTGAGAATCACAACAATTTCTTTCAAAGACCTTTTATTTTTGCTTCTGGCTAATGGGCCTGGGTAGATTTATATGAGTTCATACAGACAGACACCCTCCTTTCCCATAATGACGAGATTTCCCTAAGTTCGTAAGTCGTGTACATTAACTTTAAAATTATTTACCATTCTAGAATATTTCACATTGATGTCAACTGAGAGGGAGGCTGTAAAAAAGTCGTTAATATTTGACTAGATTTTTTTGCAGTTATTTTACTGGCACTACTCGTACGTCAGCAGCAGCTGCGTACTAAATATGGCCCCTGTCTAATATCTAGACTAATATTATGTGAGACTGGTTTACTTACGTATGCAGCACACTTTGCTGGTGTGACGACTTATTTGCTGCTCTTCGTTGCTGTTGCTGCTCGTTCTGTTCTTGATGCAGATGAAAAGATCAAAGATGTTGAGAACTATAAAATTCATTCGTGCATAGGGTGATGGTATGTGACTTTTATGCTCGCCGGCTGAACATTTCTAATCAGAACGTCAAAGTGGAGCAACACAATAATCAACAGAAATTCGAAGTTTCTCTTTTTTAATGAACTATTTGAAATGACAAAAAAAATGGCAAATAATTGGGATTTTGGGTCTGTGTCTTGGGATCCACAAAAAGGTGTAAAACATTATTTATCGCACATAAACACACCTTTGGCATGTCAACCTTTTCTATCTGCTGGCCGTTTTTCTCAACGTTTTCTGTTTGGTTTGTCTTTTTGCGACCATAAATGTTATAGTTTTTGTTGTTGTTTTGTTTCTTTTTGTAACAATGAAGTTATTAAGGCCACCTTCTGTACCTGCTGTGTGAAAATATCTCCAAATCACTTCAAAGCAAAAATGTGTTCGGAAGTTGATTGGCCGTCATCGGCATCGTCAACATTATTCCACTACCGTAAGTGGAGCAAATCATTTGGCTGCGTGTTGTTTGTTGATTTCATTGGCATTTACACCTCTTCAACTCTTTCGCTTCCATCCATCTTTGCTGAAATGTGCGTGTGTGTATAATGTGTGTCACATTTGTTCAGTTGTGGGTTTGTCCACTTCTATTGGAAAAGTAGTTTCAAGAAGATTTGCCTGTAATTGAAACAGAATCTTAGTATCGACAAATTACGATAGAAATTGCGTATCAAATTTTACTTGAAAACCAATTATGGGCTCATATTCTACATTGAAGGTCAGTTGTAAGAAATGGGTTAAACTCCCACCAAAGTGGGTAAATTATAAAATATTTTATGGAATATGGAAAATTGTACTCCGTACGCTTATATTTAAAGGGTTCTAGACATGCAAGCAATACAAATTATATACAGTCTTAATATATACCACTACATTTTCTCTATTTAACATTAGTAATTCAATAACAATCAGCTCTCTTCCACCACCTGCTGGCAGTTAGAGTCTCTAAAACCCACCCACAATGGTATCAATGAGACAGAAATGAAAATAATTATCCATTGTAAAAATCGAATAAGATTTTGCAACAATAAACATCGTTACTGGAATTTGTCATTGACTTGTTGTGACCTAATCGATTATGGGGAAATAATTATAAAATAAACATCGACAATCCATAACTAATTTGCAGTATTGAGTGAAAATATTTGAAGATTTAAGATTTGAGTGATTTGTACTAATTATCCCCTGGAAACAACCAATACAACTTTAATTCCACTTCCGTTTCTATGTTAACCCAGCTTAAATGCACTGATCATAGTGTGCCTCGTATTGATCTCATTTCTCGTTAAATTGCGTGTATTCAACAGAATTGCTTAACTAAGTTACTGAAAGTAGTCTAAGACAAGGCCACCACACAGCCAATGAATGAATGACTGAATGCCTAAAAACACGACCATTGATTAATAGTTTGCCAAATCCCAATCGAAGTTGACCAGTTTTTAATAAATGTTTTTTTTTTTTTGCTTTCGGCTCTCTTTGTTTCTTGCAGATTTCCAAATTGAAAAATATTGAACTAATTAATAACACAAAAAATGTCACAACAACGAATCTCCAGAGATCAGCAACAAAAATACTCACCAGCCGCGACAGCGGCAAAGATGTTGAAAATGTGTCGGCATCTCTAAAATCCATACACCAACAATTGAAAGCACTCGATATACCTGAAGTACAACAACACAACAATTGCATGAATCTAATCAATGAGAATGGACAATTTAGTACGCTACTCACCACCTCAACCACCAATAACCATACCACATCCAATTGCAACTCTTCCTCTCCCCCATCTTCTAATGTAAATGGAAAAATGTTAGAAACTAACAACAAAGAGGAGCTGATCGCCGATCATTCAGAAGATGATCAAGAACTGACACAACATTTAAATAACAAGGCCATAGAAGAAGAAGAGATAGCTAAGCAAACAGATCTTCATCACAATCACAGTCACTCGGATTCTGATTCGGCATTATCCTCTGCACCGCCTAGTATAAGTCCACAGCCGCCCGCTAATGGTGTGGAGCCAACAGATATTTGGCAAACGGTAAGTTGAAAACTAGATACCAATATTATACCTCAACCCTACCCGATCTCTTATTCCACACACACACACACACACCACCCCCATATAGAGTGTAATGACCTCTCATCGAGTTTCTGTCTTCAGTCTTTTGTTTTTCTTTGCGATGGGTTATCAATGTTATGACCAAAAGATTTATCGAACATCTTTGCATCTTCGTCGCCAAAATTCAAATACATTTTTAATTTCACTTTTTTCTCTCAACCATAAATCAAAGTTGGAAGCAGCAGTCACATAGCTGCACCACGGCATACAAACAATGCTGTGTGTTGGGTGACTTTGCACATTGGACACGATTGGTATGTCAGTTGGCTCAATGACACATATATTTGTAACTGGCAACCCAGCAGCTGTTGCTGCTCGTGCACTTCACATATCCCAGGCCATGCCAGCCGCACATTGACGAAGACAATGCAAAAATCTCACGATTGTTGTTCAGGGGACAATCAATGAATGAACTTCAAAAACTTGACGCCAGTTATGGCAATTTGCATATTAACTTAGTTTTAAATAGACGACGTTAGCAGTCAATAAATGTACACTAACTACGAACTACGGTTCGGTAAATGGCATTTTAATTTGGCGTTTCTGTTTCTTTATGTTTTATTTCTTCACAGATACGCAGCTACAGCAATGACATTGAAAAGTTGCAGAAAGAAGTCGATTCCTTGAATAAGGAGAACGATAAGCTACGCCAGGAATTGAGTATGGCCAAAGAACAAATCATTGATTTGGAAAATGTTGCATTAGAGGTAAGTAGTACATTCGCAGTGTTGGTTTTTACTTATTATAATGGTGTGTTTTTGTTGTTGTTGTTGTATTTCAGCACAATACCAGTAATGAAAAACATCAACAATTATTGGAAAGAATAAAATGTTTGGAGGACATCGAAAGCGATCTAAGGGAACAAAATGAACTTTTGGAATTTAGAATACTTGAACTGGAAGATAATGCTGGTGATAAGGTAAGTGGGAAACCCGATCTCTTATGTAGAAACGTAGAAAATATGAACGAAATTAGTTTTTGCACTTCATAATAAGGGGTACAATTTAATCAATCAGTAAAGGAGTTTTATCTTTTACAGTGATAAACGGCTTTGTCATGAGTGGCTTAATGTATTATTCAAGATATTATCACGATTGTCTAACTAAAAATATTTTTGAAATTGAAATCATGAAACATAGAGACTTGTGCCGTGTTCTAAAATGTATTTCTTTCACAGCACCCTGTATACATTTAAAACTATATAAGCACCCTGTTCATTGTGTTATTTTGTGAGAAGCACCCTGTTGACGAACTCTTTTGTTTCTCTGACGCCTTAAAGTATGCTATATTTGCAACATTTTTGAAAATAAAAATTTTGAATAGTAAATTTGTAAGCGTTAAATTATGCCATGTACAGACGAGCGTTGTTCGCTCTCTCATTCGTTGTTCGACCCTTAATTATGAAGTAATTACTTAGTTCCCCATACAAAATTTTCTGAGCGAACACCGATTTTTGTATGTAGTTCAATTCGAATCACTCTCTGAATAACCATAAAAATTTAATTTAATTTTGACAGCTTGAAAATATTTATGTATATATAATATGATGAATGAAAAGTAAAAAATAGTCTAGTTTTTATATATGCAGCAGGATGTACATTTTGTTATCTACATAATGCAATATGAATTTCTTTCCTCTTGATTCTAATTAGCGTACAAAACAAGAAACAAATTTGGGGAAACTCAAACAAAAAATTCTCCAAATTTTTATTTACAAATACATACATATGTGACATTTGAATTGAGAAAATTCGAAAATATATTTAAAACCACAATATTTTCAGAAAAAATGGAAAACATGAATTAAAAGTAAATAGATATGGGTTCATACTATAGTCAGGAGAACGAGAATTATTTTTTCTATTTAGATCCATGTGTGATTCACGTGAATAAGTTACAATTTTGGTGTAAAACAAGAAACAAAAAGTTTGAAATGAAAAACTCTGATGACATGAACTAAGAATAGTGTCGTATGAACGGGTTAATTCATGTACGCAATTCTGAGAGCGAACTACGTTGTTCGAATGCCCGTCAGAACATGGCATTAGTGCCAGAAATTTGAGGGTTTGATTTATCGATTTTAAATTATCAATAGGGCCTGTTTATGAGTACCAATACTTGTTATGGTTAGTAACTTTGCACATACTTTGCATATATTGGAAGATTTAAAAGAGAAGACAAAATAATTTACAAAATTTAATTGTTGTTTATTGTGATTAAAGAAAAGTCCTTCACTGAATATTCTTTAATTAGTGTAGTTTCGAATCAAATCAAAAAACAGAAATTAAATTTTTTGAAACCGAGAATGGAGATTTCCCTTAATGCAGAACACACACGTTATTGATGAAGCCCTCATTTGTCATTGCGTTTGCAACACCTTTACATAACAATGATTCCTATTGTAGCAGGTAGCAAATCTTTCGAATTTCCAAATTTCGTTAGTTTTGTGAAGTTTGGCACTTTTTCAATTACAATTGGGTGGCAAAGCTTCTTACGAAGATTTATTCGATTATTTGGGGGTTATGGACGCAAGGATAATGTAAAAAGGTCCCGAAAAATTCAGGTATAAAGAGTTTGGCCCGATCGAATTTAACTTATTTGTTTTTATATAGATTGGCAAAAACTGGTTGGGGTGAGTAGATTTTTTCCTACCGAGCCTTTGTTAATTTGACACTTCATTCTATCAATATAACCCCTTAAATCCTTTATATTTGTTTTAGTTTAAAATATCATTAAATCTGGTATTCTTCCCTACAATGTCTGAAATTGAATAGAATATTGTCACTATTTCATTTACCTAAACTCCAGGCAATATTCGTATTACAATGATATACATATTGGTCTTACCTTGAGTCATACTAGAGCTGACACAAGGAACTGGTCTGTAGTGACAAGTTTTTATTTTTTTTTTTATTTTTCATTTTTTTTCTAATCGAATTGACAGTCAACACTTTTGTGGTTGCGACAAATCCTACTCCCCCAATCATTGATTTCTCTCACAAAAGAAACAACAAAACTCAGAAATGACATTTTGGCGCTAGTCTTAATTAAGAAATATGCTACGGGCATAACAAACCAGCCAATCAAATGCTGGTATTACTCGTACTTAACCTTTGACCTTTCATAGAGCTTTTATTCCCATTATTGGTTGTACATTAAAAATAAAACAGTCTAATCACGTTTTCGCTGGCTTTCAGATGGGCATGCAAATCTTTTGCGGAGAATCCATCCAAAAATTAAAAAAAAAACACATTATTTTTTGCAAAAACGTGACTTATAATGAAATTGATGATCATGTTAACATCCCATTACTACTCCCAGATGAGAGTATTTAAAGAAGAGAGCGCTAATGGTTTCTTTTGGATTATGATTTGTGAGGGATACGAATGTTTATACGTTTGTGTCTTAAGTCTTTTGTTTTAGTTTTATAATTTCAAGTGATCCCAATAAATGTATGTGTGCGTTTGTCGGTTTTTGAAAGCAATTTAATTTGAATTCTATAATATTTAATTCCTAATAAGTGTTACACTTCAATCGCCTACACACCAACTAATTACAAAGAATATTTATTACCCGATATGGCTGTAAAAAATGGGCCACTTATTATTATTCTTGTGGAGAATGTACAGCCGTTGAAAGGCCACAATATGAATTGATTTTTATTTATTTTGCTTTTGCTACAAGCAATTACATTTGCATAGAACTATTTTTAAACAAACAAATACACACAAACACTAGAATATACCGAGTGCCTCATAGTTCTATCCGATATTTGTTCTCCATTCATACACATTACAGCTTTTGTTTGATATTGTGAAACGTCATTTTGTCCAAGTTCCACGACCACGCATTGACCAAGTTCTATGTTAATTGGGGGGTTTTGTTGTTGTTTTTTTCTTTTGGTTTTTTATTTTATAAAAATAAATGCACGTGTGCTTCATTGAAGTAAAATTGTTTGCCATCAAACTACTTATGACTCACATTATGTAACCCACATACAAACATACATTGGCATGCTTGTGAGTATCGTTATATTTTGAGAAATATACACCATTCATAAGTAAGCAATGTTTCTGGCAAAAATATTTACAGAATCTGGTCTTTGGCGCCCAAATTTCTTTATATATGTATATTGCGGTCATTTCAATCATTGGCGTAAATATGAAACAAACGACATAAAAAATAATGACTGTTTAAGGCTGGGTTTAGCTACGGTAAATAAATGTAATCGCGATGCAGTGATCGCCACACTTCCTCTCCTATGGCTATGTGTGTTTCTTACACAAATAGTTATGTACAGTGGTAGTTAAAATTAGTTTATATTTTTTTTATGTCTCTCGGTCAACAAAATTGTTTGTTTACAGTTCGAAGAGCTGCACGCTCATTGTCTTCTTAGACATAGATATGTCTAAGACAAATATATTTTTTACAGCGCCTAAAAAATAAGATCGTCCTACTAACGGTCCATCGTTGTTGAAGGACTGTTTATGATCAGCTACACAACTAGAACTAAACACCAGACCGATGTCTTGGATTTTCTATTTTATTATTATATCAATTTCATCCAATAGTGTATTAGTGCAAAGTATATATGTATGTACTGGATGTATCACCGTCTTTATATGTCAACGGTCTCAAACCACAAAAAACAACAACAACAGAAACGCCAATATGTGTCATACAAAAATGACCCTTTGTTGCTTTTGTTGTTTTATTTATTATTGCAATACCCAACCGTAGCAAACGCCAAAATAGACAATGTTCTCTATAATGGCAAAATTGTTGTTATTGCTGTCGTCGTCGTTGTTGTTGTTGTTATTTGATTGTACATTATGATGGGAATTTTCTTACCAATGGACGTTGAGGCGGGCGTTTGAACAATTTTTTTTTTTTTGTTTACAACGGCTTGAGCACGAACCAACGTTTCATTGAAAATCAAAAATAACGAGAGAAGAGAATAATTCTGTCTCTCTCTCCTCGTGGATGACTGAGTTCTCTCTCCATAGCGGAGATTTGCAAAATAACAAAACTGAAACCGAAACAGCAATTCAAAGAAAACAGTCTTGTTTTGGCGCTTTTATTGTTTGGAGTTGGCTCAAAAGACACAAAGCAGGCAAACTGACAGACACGCTTCTGGCGCGATAACATTTTCGGAGTTTAAAAAGTGTTTAGTTGTTGTTCGCTTTGAATGGCATGCGCATGCGCCTCAACATAGTTCGTCAACGGTTTTGCCATAAACCCGAATAAATATAAAAACAACAAAACTCAAGCGGTGGATATTTATCCATGTTATCGACATAAAAAAATCTTCACATTTCAGTTAAAACGAAACCAGCAGCAGCAACTAAAATCGCCCAATATTAATAAATGATAGAAAATGCAATAACAAATCATTCGATTTAATTGAATATCTTTCATCATGATGTTGTGATTGATTTTGATTTGTTGTGTTTATTATTTTGAAATAAATATGGTCTTAAAGGAAATCTAAATGTGCATAAAGTGCATCGAATGATTTTTAACCATGTTTTTAGTGCATTATTGTGACCATAGTGAGTGAGTGTTATAAAAAGGATCACATATTTTATTCAATTGATTTGAATAGAAATGATATTCTCTAAGACGTGTTTGTGAGGGCGTGTGTGTTTTCTAATGTGTAATTTTGAATAAATTATTACGTAATTTAAATTTATGAAGCTACAAATGAAGCACCTGTTCTAGAATTGATATCATCCACAACAGAACGCCTCCATTCAATCAACCATACTTGGAATACGCCAGCAGCATCGCCAGCAAGAAAGCAAAGAACAAAATGCTTTGTGATGATGATTTTATTTGCTTAGTGAGTGTACAAAATATGTGTGAATTGAAAATTGTGATCAAATTGATAACTAATTTAGTAATGACAAGAACAGGGCT